AAGTTACTTTCTCTAGAGCTAAAAAATCAAGAAATTGCAGCACACAAGGGCAATCACCRGGAAGAATTGCCCCAGCCACTCCATCCCAGAGGGGAATCGTCCAGAGAAGACCTCAGAGTGTGAGAAATACTCAAATTCCACCAAAGCAGCCCAGGAGCTCGCCCGGGGAGACCCCCCTCTGTTGAAGGGGGAGGTCAGTTCTGGCGGTCCCTCAAGCACGGCTGTGGCTGAGCCCCTGCAGGCCACGCTGGCACAGGGGCTGCTGTTTTTCTGGCCGCCCTCAAGGCAAATAAAGCCAGGCACATCCTCACAGGCTTTCCTTACACGGGCAGCTTGAACCGTTCCTTTAACCTTGGCAAGGCACACAGATGGATATAAAACTCCAAGGCCTTGGAAAAGCTTCCATTTCTAGAAATAATTGAAACATTTTGAGGAGAAACAAAMCAGACAATACCATATAACATGTTGAACTGCTGGTATGTTGTTAGGTCAAGCACTTCTGCTCACTGTTACTATTCCTGATACCTGCAGCAGAGCTGAGAGGCAGCAGATCTAAACCGAAAAGGAAACAAATCTAATGCAGTGTTAGCTTGCCGAGCTAGACGACAGCATTAAAATCAAGAGATCGGGAGAGTTTAAGAAAGGCTGGGCACCTTTGTGAACACAGCTGGTCAGGAGGGTTGAGCAGCAGCTCGGGACAGCAGCAGAACACCCGGGCAAGGCGGCTGCGTGCCCAGGGCTGCACCGGCCTCCAGCTGCGCTGCCCGGGGCTGCGAGGTGGGCAACGGACACCAGAGATTTGGGGCAGCCCGAGGAATAAAACAAGTGCTGATSATAATTGAGAGAGTACATGTTACATTTAACAACCTGCCATGCACAACCAGATATTTTTACTCCATCCTATTATATATCCCACCTCTGCAGAACCTTAGAAGAAAATTAGTCCTCCAGCAGTCACCAACTGTCACTGAATATTGACACCAAGGAGATATAAACCTCAGCCCTGAGACTGAGGATGGTGAAAAGAAACAGCAGTTTTTGAACCTGGATACATATCTGGAGTAACTCCACTTTATACATACAGACTTCCAGTATCCTTGGAAATGCAGGTACTTTACTGCATGTTGTKGTTTTTCCCTTCTTGTTTCAATACAAGGAGCTGGAAATATTCRGTCAGGCTCGTGATTGCTCTGGATTGGGTACTGCTAAGAAAAAGAAATAGTGAGAGCAAACATAGGAACAGTAACAGGAGCAAGGCTGTGGCACATGAGCTGAGGTGTTACAGATGCAGAATTTCTGAGGCAACAAGTTAAAAAGTAAATAGTCACAAGCCTTACAGGGATGTCAGCCTGAAAAAGCACATTTAAATACAGGCAACTGGACATTGGTGATATTTTTATTTGGCAGCCAAAAAAACAGTACAGAAATTCCAGCCCAAAYGATCTAAGTGGTCAAAAACATTACTAGCCATCAAGCCTAATTACACTTACCTGTTGTTCCTGCGAATTGGCTGCTACCACAGAAAAAGATGCTTCTCTATACCCAGTGCTCTTGCCCACTTTGCCTGACCCAGACAAGGTGAGAAGCCCTCGGGCCGTAGGGGGGCCCCTCTGTGGGGAGGGCAGCAGCAGAGCCCCCCGCGGTGCCGTTGGCTCCGGCCCACGCGCGCTGCCCCTGCACAGGCTGCAGAAGCTGCCGGGACACCCCTGTGCTTCCCGGCTCGCCCGGCCCGATACCGCCTTGTTTCCTAAGCCAGGAGGCTTCTCGGAGGAACCGGAGCACATCTGGCGTAGTAAGAACTGCACACATTTTATACAGAGTTCAAGTGGGCCTGGTTTAATGCCAGAGCATGCCTCAGATGTTTAGGACGTGCAAGCTGAAGTTGATTCCCAGTCTCCCTCACCTGCTGTTGAGGCAGGTTCCTCTTCCCTCCCCAGCACGGGCAGCCCCCGCGCTCTGTCCTCCGCAGGCCGGCCCGCACGGACGCCCGTCCAGCGCCGAAGCCCACGCTTTGCTATGCAGATTCCGAGATCCCGGCGGGAAGAAACTCCGACACTACAAGAAAGATCGCCCAAAGTTTGCAGATTGTTTGCCTGAAGCTGTACATCTGTTGATTATTTTCACAAATTCAACTCTAATGGAGGGACTGTATCCATCAAAAACYATCTCCAGGGAATGTGACATCTCCTGTTCCAAGTGATGCAAAGAAAGATGACCTTTAGAGTGAGCTGCTGATAATTCCCGGCATGGAAAAAAAAAATAGGTCTCTTGCACGCTGTAATACACACTGCAGTTGTTTGCCTCAAGCAAACTAAGAACTGAATGGCAGAAGCAGCTGGTTACAGATGGYGGTGTGAAAAGTTCAGCTCCTTCTTTCTCTGCTGCTTAGCTGCAGGAGTATTAGTCAACAAAGCAAAGGATTATTTGTACTTCGCTGCACTCAGATTAAAAAGGATAAATTCTCAATATGAATCTATAGCATTCACTTCAAGCAACAACACACAGTGCTCTGACAAAGGGAGAAACTGCTTTGATGAAACACAAAATGGGATAATAGAAAGATCACCAAGACGAGCTTGACATGAATCCTGCACCAAGTTTACTTTTCTGCAGAAGGAATTTAGAAGCTGCCTTTGTAACTGACCCAACTTAAGTATTTTGGGGAAAAAAGAATTACTGGCTGAGGATAAATAAAGCAAAGGACATTTAAAACACCCCCACTGGCACTGTGTGACAAGTCCATCCTTAGAAGAGCTGCAGARTCACACAGAGCAGCAGAGGAACAAGGGAGATTTCAAGCTCAGGGCCAAAATCATCACGACTGTTCCCCAGAAAAGGGGTAAAATGGGGCTTGACCAGAACTGACCAAGAGCTAAAGGCTGCCTAAGGACAGGGAAATGGCTTTCAAATTTCAGCAGCATAGACGAAGGTTCTAGCTCTGCCCCTGCCCCGCAAGCTGGTCCCAGGCCAAACCCATGACATGCGTCAGGAGGAGCAGGGTCCCACGGACGGTGCAGCAGGCAGGGAAGCACGTGCAGGTCCTGCGGGAAGCGCAGCTCCACGTTTCCACTCCGGACAGCCTCCAGCAATGAGCTTAAGGAGAACGCAGAGGCCAGAACTTCTGAGAAGCTTGAGACTGCGGGACGATAAAGAAATGGGGGTGCAGGGGACTCCTCCCAAACTCTGAAACAGCAAGACTTCAAGTTATTCCTTTCATAAAAGGAAAGGAATAAAATGCACTGATGTGGGCCTAAGCATTAAACATCTGGCCAGAGGGGGAGAGGGACTTGCATACRCAATGTGTCTCTACCTTCAGGAGCCTCCTGTGCAGTTTTGTCTTTGCTCTATAAATGCAACTTTATAACATGCTATTTCACGTTAAATTTCACTTCTCATAATAAAAAAACATGAAGTCAGAGTAACAAAAATCATTTTCTTACTATTTTCTGCTGATTTCCATCATCCTTTGAAGAGATCACTACGCCTATAAATGTTAATGGAACCGAAGGCATTAGTATTAATTTAAAAAAGTTCTACCAGCTCCATCCGACTACTCATAAAAGTGAAATATGACAAAAAAGGATGAACAAACAATCATCAGAAGATAAAAGTTTGCAGCTTTCTCTGTATGTTGGTGGTCAAACCTCAGTCCCAGAGGTTAAACAGTGGCAAGCTGTGTATGCATCTATGTCCAACATCATCTGTAGGGTTGTCCTGATTGCAAATTAATTTTCCTCTCTTGGAGACTATCTGTAAAGTGCAGACAGATGACCCCATGTACACAGCACAACTTTCAGTGAGCCAGCTAGGCACAGCAAYGTGGATACATATATACATGTATGTGTGTATGTCTGTACAAGCATTTGCATGGGTACCTGTTCATCTGCAGAATTATTATCTAGATGTGAAGAGAAGGCTGATGAAGGGCTCCTATCAGGTGCATTAAATACTTGGGTAAAATCAAAGCACTGCCTTCTAATGTTCTTCAAAAAGCCTGAGCCAACATCCTGGTGAAAGAAGCATTTGTAACARACATTTCCTAAGTTTCTTTTTAATAAAAAGATTGTACCAGCCATTGAGAATCAACAGTCAGAGATAGTCGCCTCTACCCAACATAAATATATTAATTGTTAAACAATTTTTTCTTTCCTAGAGCTGAAGTTTCTAGTTATTACAGAAAACTTCCTTGATATGAAAAATATATATAAAAACYACATGTGTGCATATATACATATATGTAATTTCTAGATACAAAGGTACAGCTAGAACTAAGGGAACTAAGCTAGAACTTAAACTAAGTATTTATCCCCTCCTTTAAAAGTATTTTTCCTCCACTCAAGAACTTGACATTTTTCAATTGGTTTTAACTTCATATGATTTTTTACATATAATGGGACAAAAACATTACTTCCTCTCACAAGAAATATTTATTGAATATTTATTGTCCTTTCAGATCTCCTGCTCTGTTTGACTAGGTTACTTATACTAGATATACTGAGGCAAATGAGTCATAAAAATCTTTAGTCTATTCACACTGTGAGGTATACCATAATTTAAGGTAAAAAGATCCTCTTAAAAAGATTAGCAAGTACAAGGTGCTGTTAACTTTTCATATTTACATTTTGTCTGAATATATAAGGCCACCAAAGTTAAAATTATATGTATCACTACAACGGCAACATTATAGCCTAGTCTGAAGCTAAAAAATATACTTTGTTAAATAAATTGACTACTTCAGCGTTTTAGGAAGCCATGGAAGAGTCCGAGCATGTAAGGTGCRGGTTTAAGGGGTAGGATCCATCACCTGTGCTTCCCTCGGGGGCTTTGCTCAGCTCCTCTCTCCCTGCTCTGCCTCTGGACGYGGAACGCTGCGCCCGGCAGCGCTCGCCACGGCCCACGCGGGCAGCGGGCACCTCCGCGCCCCGCGCGGCACCTTCCCCGCAGAGGCCTCCTTTTTCACCAGAGCCTTCGCAGCTCTTGAGCATTTCCTTCTGATTCATTTACCTGTCAAACAGATGAGAAAATTACTKAAAATACAGTTTATATGGCTTTTTTTTGTCAAACTGTAGAGGCTAACAAAATCTGGAAGATCATGTTGATTTGATTCATTGAGCAAAATAGATTCTAAGAAAGCACAGATATGATTTATTTTCCCACTATTTTAACAGTATGACTGAGTGTTAGATTACTGAAAACATAAAGGACCTGTAACATGACTAAATTGATAAAGTAGTACAGTAATTATTAGATAATTAACAAGCTAGCCTGTAAAGAGGCACACACATTTTTATACCTATCCTAAGCTTGCTTTCTTCCAACTTAGCATTTTTCCTGTTCTGGGGCATCTTTTCTCTTCTTTAACTAAGACTTTGCGAAGCCATTTCCAGATCTCCTAGACACAGCTCACAATAGAAAACATGAAACAAGTTGCAATTTCCAYACACTGAAAGTTTTAAGGGTTCAATTTCCTTTTACTATAATTTACCCAAACAAGGGATATTGGCTTTGAATCTCTGTACTAAGGCACTGTGCAACAGTCTGAAACTAAAAATTGAAGACATAATATATGATTTTGAACCACCCCAGCTAAACCATTGAAGCCTACAGTTATTGCTTGTTTAAACAAATAAGACTTTTCTTATTTTATAAATTCTACTTTGTGAAAAAAAATAAAAATAAAAATAAACAAAAAAACCCTACACTCCACACACAACCCAAGAACAAAAAACACTTCAAATTAGTCCCCTGGGCTAGAGCTAAGGGATAACACTTACTAAAATATGTAAATATGTTTTATCTTAGACTCCATTTCACAACGAAGCATGATAAAGAAAAAGCTACATTCTAATAAATGGAACATTTTAAGTCGTTTTATTGTAAAAGTATAAGGCATGCTATTGAGTCTCCAGTCCCTGATTACTCAAGGCTGCCTTTAAAAGAACTTTCTCCTTCAGCAAACAGAATTGTGCTGGTTTATATGTAATTTCATACACAGATGAAACATTATAGCCTTTTTTTTTTTTTAAAGAGCCAAGCTACTAAAAAAGGAATAAATTCAATTCTCTTAGTGCAAGACAAAGACTGCTGGAGGATGCTCATGATCAGATTTACTCATGCACAAGCTATGTAATATACTAATGATACACTCTATATATATATATATGCACTAATATCATAGCTTACATAAAGGGAAAATAACAAAGGTACAGAAAAAAATTACTCTGCCTTTTTGTTTTTCAGCACTTGGTATTTGGAAATCTGAAGGTCCTCAATGCTCTCTGCAATTGGCTTATTCAGTGTTTCTGGTAGAAGGAGTGTCAAGAATCCAGCTGACAGCCCACTGATCCCAAACACCACAAACGGTACGAAAGGACCAAGAGATTTCTGAAATGAAAAATCCATGGAAAAAACCAACATTGTTTCCTGATCTGAAAAACATATGATCCACATTAAAATCTGTCAAAACCATAYCCATACAATTGTCCCATACTTTTAAAATTATCCATGAAGAAACACAATGTCACTTCTAGGCATGTATTTTCATAAGAAACTACTCCTGGGAAGTACTCAGACGCAGAGCAAAGCTCAGCCACACAAAATGCATTACATGACTATCATTTCACTAACAGATTAACACAATAAATAATGTCAGGCTCTKTCTGAAAAGAAAAAGCTGTTTAAACCATCTTGTCCCTTAACTGTTGGAATTGACTAAACAAACTTTAATTTTTCTTTAACAGACAAATTTTTCARGGGTTGCCAATGTAGCAAAAGTCAGCAAAATACTTTAAGAATTTAAAGAGCTGGAAACTAAAGCGTGAAGTTGCTAATAAAACAATCTTACCATAGATGGCACAAAYGGAGCCAAAATGCCTCCAAATCTGCAAGACATGGAACAGACACCCAAGCCAGCATTTCTGTTTCAAATAAAGGATGAAAGTTTTGTAATTACGCAGGTAGTACAACACAAATATGCAGCTACACTGAGAAAATTAATCCACATTTTTCCTTCAGTTATGAAAGAGAATCAGATATTTGCACAGATTGAAGACCTTGAGCAGTCACTCCCAGATCTGCCTCGGCAGCCCCTGGCAGCCCTTCCCGCCTGCGCACCGGSGCGAGGGGCCAGCCCGGCCAGCCCAGCCGGCCGTGAGGACCGTGTAAGGGCTCTCATGTGAGGGGCACTGCCAAGGCGCGGGCCGGAGGAGGCTCCTCAGGCCGGCAGCATCGTGGTGGGCACCGTCTGCTCCGTACCGGCTCCTCGGCAGCCACCGCTCTTCTCCTGCTCCAGGTCACACAGGTTGTTTTCACTCAGTGCTTGCTTTCCAACACAAAACAGCCATTCCCCAAAGTGAGGCCTGAAACATCTGGGCAGACGTGTACTAAGTGTTCCCTTCAGCTTTCCTGTGTTCCCTTCAGCTTTCAGACAATTTTATAACAATCTAATCTGGGCTAAGTGATAATCAAAGCATGGTTATAACAGCAGGATTTTCTTCGAAGAGGCACAYACACACAAAATGAACAAGGAAAGCACAGAGGCCTTTCCCTTCCCGACCAAAGGCAAGCAGCCACCCCACGTGTGTCCCTCCCGACAAACAGCAGCCACCTCAGCGACTCGGCGGGCACCAGCGGCGAGCAGCGAGAACCTCCCCGTGCCTGTCCCTCCCCAGGCCTCCCGGCTGCTTCCTCTGGCTGCTCCCCCTGCCAGCTTGCACTGAGCAGGGYCTCCTCCTCTTCCCCCCCCTTTCCTTCCTCGCAGCTGAACCCTGCGAGGCGGCAGCGGAATTAACCCCGACAGGCACAGCAGGGACCCGGCTCACTGGCACAGCCAGCACACCCGGGTCCACATCCCCTGCCAGCAGCCTTGGGACRGCCCAAAGAGAGCAGGTGACGGAAGGACTCAGGAAGCACAGAGTGTGCTGCAAAAGCAGACACAGAGCCACCCATGTCCTCTCCTACAGGAGCCAATTGKCCATCCATATGTCTTCAACTGAGCAGCATCCACCCCAACCGCCCTGCGCCGAGCCCAGGGCTGCCCCTCGCGTCGCCTCACGCCCTGCGCATGCCGCGAGCCCCATGCGCTGCCCCACRGATGAGCAGGGGGCACACGGAGCACATGGAGCCCACAGAGCCCACTGCAAGCCCAGCAGCTCCATTGCTGGGGCAATACACCGGCATGGGAAGGCGAGGCCACAGAGCTGCTTTCTCATCTTGATTACATTTTGTTCCTGAACACACAAAATACGCTTCCCTTCTCCTTAAAATTCAAAAATAGTCAAATAATCTCTTCTTGAGCTTTTCATACCCCAGCAGGTATTTTAAAGACACGTCACAAAATGGGTGAAAAAAAACCCAACCCACATACTGGTTTCTGGCAYCTTCCTCATCCTACCATGAAACGTATTTGCCTTCCTCAATGTACTAATTAGCAGGACAAAAATGCCGAGCACATTCCTCAGTTGTCAAGTAATAAGYAGATTTTAACACAGAGTGTTGTTATTGAAGATGATTGTATGGTAAAATTCCTAAAGGAAAAAAAAAAAAGAGAAGAAAAAGAGCAGCCCAGCGCTCTCTCCGCGTGGGCCGGGCTCCGCGGCGCCGGGCACAGGGCAGCTCCGTCGCGGGGCTCTGCCGGGCCGAGCCGGGCCRAGGCCGCCAGATGGTGCTGACGCTTTGCGCTCACCGCTCGCCAGCGCCGCTGCTCTTGCCTAAGCTGCAGTATTTGCAATTAAAATACCAGACAGTTATCAAACACATKTATATGCAGGAACTGGCATGTGGGAGGATTTTTCATATGATATCTCCAACATAATAGCTTACTGTATTACTTAACAAGAGTTGTCTAATAAAGCTGTAGAAGTGGCTTTGGAAATCGGTGCTATTCCCCACTAATGCTCTGCATCCTTGACTCACATCTTAGTTTGGTGCCAGAATATTAGTCGCAAGGGAAGCGCTGCTTCGTTTCATTAACTTTTCTGTGTTAGGTCCCTGGCCACAAACACCCCATTTGCAACACACAGAAGCATTCCTGGGATTCCTGCCGGGCACGAGCTGTCATGGACTTGGCACCGCACAACAGCAGGACTTGGGCAGACAAAACTAACCCACGTCATGAGGACATAGCAAAACAGGCAAGAGAAAGGAAAGAACAAACACAACCACCCCCCTGTAACCCCCCCCCCAAACTTTTCATTCTACGTTTACTTCTATTCTCTACCTCAGAAGAGCAAAGGGGACAGGATTCAAAGAACACACACGCACTGAAAACAGCTTGTAGCAATTTCAAAACCTCAAGAGGGAAGCGACTCCCCAAACCCAGTTTGGGTCCACGTGTCAGGGACACTCAAGGCCTTGCACACCAAACCTCTGCCAAGGAGCACCAGAACCTGCAATGCACTTCCATGCTTCCCAGGTTTCATCACCTAACACAGCACTACAAAAACTGAGTTCACATTGGAGTTTTTCCACCTCTGTAACGTATAGAAAACCACGAACCTCAACTAAAAGAGCCCCAGCTGAAGCAGCCACCTCCTCCCGCACAAGCATTTAGAGGCTCCTTCAGACACGGGTGGGGAGCTACGACGGGAGGCATGAGAACAGGGCTGYGTGGTGCTTCGTCGTGCTGCCGTAGGCTTCCTTTGGCACGGCAAGGCAGCAGCCCTGCAAACTGCTGATTAGAAACTATGAAATAAAGTCAAGTTCTTGCCCACTTGTTCATGGATTAAATGCTGTCAAGTGAGTCACTACCATATGGCAACTTAAATTAGTTGTATTGAGAATATTTAACTCAATTATAAAGATATGTAAAAGGACTTTTCAAGAAGCAATGAACAGTAATTATATGGGAGATTCAAATATATAGCTGTACTGTAAATCTTTATAAATAYAGTAAGGATTTAGTTGCATATGCTTCCATTGAACCATTATGTTTGGGTTTGTATGCAGTAAAGTTACTTCCTAAAAATCAATAGCAGAAAGAATAAGCAAGCCACACACGTCCTGCCCTTGGCACTGCAGTGCAAAAAGATTGCTCTTCATGTTTTTATTCTCAATTTAGACCCAGGAGAAGCTATCACAGGCAATCAATGCCAAACACATGACTAATAAGAAGTAGTTTCAAGCCCTGAAAAACTGCACATCATGCACTTTGATTACATGACAAGAAAAATTAAGAAAAAAACTCATATTGGTATTTCAAATAAAAATCAAGATTAGTACTAAAGCACACCAGCCATCCTACCACTGTGTGTGAAGAGCATTTGCCATTCACCACAAACTTTGTTGCTAACTTACCTCAATACTGTTGGGTAGAGTTCAGAAGTATAAACATACACGATGTTGAAAGCAGCGCTGACCATCATTTTTCCACACAAAGCTAAGAGAGTGGGGCTGAAGAACAAACCTTGGAGGAAAGAAAAAGTGAACTGTAAGCGTAAACAGCTTATTTCCTTTCTCTTGGCGTACACTGTTGAAAATACCAATACATCCGATATAATGTTGCCCTTAAATATTTTCAGCTTTATTCATCTGATCAAGTTAGATCCTATTTCAGAATAGAAACAGAAACAGCAATTTCACCTGTACATAAACAGAAATCCAGAAGCTTTATTTAGTTTTAAGTGTGATAGGTTTCTGCACTAGTTCTGTAACTCACACAAGACAGGATACAACCTGTTTATCCTGCTCTCCTTGGTCTGGGTAACAACTGCCAGGCACAAAGGCGATAACCCAGACCTCAGTTCTGCTGGGACACCCCTATTCTTCCATTACCCAAACGGGAAGCAGTGAAGACAAAATGCATCTTAAACTTCTATATCCTTTACCTCTCAGGGAGAGCTAAACTGAATGCTGAACACCCATGCTTTACAAGTGGAGCACTCCTGCACTTGGCAAGCCCTGCTCACAGCAGAAGAAAGTCTGTCTAGACAGAGAAATTGGCACTCGGAAGCTGGCGAGGGAATTGCGAGGGCTCTTCCATCTCTGCACGGCCTCCCTCGGGAGGCCAGCAGCCGCGTGCACGTAGAACCAACGTGGGATTAGAAGCACGCTAGAAATTCACTGCACATCAACTCCTTGTGCCAGCGAGCTGAGGGGTGGAACATACTTGTTAGACTCGCCTCTGAGTCTCGGAAGGTATTTTCAGCAACTCTTGCACAATATTGCCTGATTTTCTTTCCAAATGTTAGATTAATACCATAAAGTAGGAGTGCACTTTCTCCTGTGTAGATTCTGGCAATGATCTGCAGCTCATTGCTTTGAGATTCTTCAGCACTCCTGTGATATTTCTGCCTACAACCTCTTCATTTAAAGGCCTCGTAGCAACAGCATGCACAGAATTTGGTGTGAAGCAGCACACATGGAGGTAGCTGCTTCTGACTCTAGAGGAGAGAGCTGCACGGTCTTACTAAACACAAGTATCTGAGCTCAGTTGTTTAGGGAAGTGATCTTCAGAATTTAGGGGATGTAAAACAGGAAAAAAAAGAAATAAATGTTGCTGATATTAAGAAGTTGCTATAAGAGGAGTTACTCCATGACTAAGTAGTGATCTCTCTGCTGCAATGTTACATAGATTAACTTTTCAGTTGTCATCTTTAAAAGAAAAGAATAATTTAAATTGCACTTTTGAAACAAAAAGACTTCAAATTTACTTCAGAAAATATCCATCCAAGAAAGTGCAGCACTCCACTTTTCTGTTTTCAAAACAGAACATCTGATACCAACAAAACCCTGTTAAAGGGCTGTAAGTTTTCCCCACTCTGCGTGCACACTCCCCACCTTCCTTCTTTGCGAGACGTATCCAAGTCAAAGAAAAGTTAGGATCACTCTGTTTACTACAACCATGCAAACCTAAATAGGAATMAAAACGTAGCGGATCCCTAGACTAGAGCTTGCATTTCTTTGGTATTGCATAAAACAGACAAAAGAGGGAAGATGTTTTCAGGCTTATAGCAGCTTCTGAAAGAAGAGATTATTACAGCTTAACTCCTGGCCATTGATCCTCTTTCTCATCATCTTCCAATCTGATATTCAGGTAAATTGATCAGTTCTCAACAATAAAGAGAGCACTGAGGTAGCATATCAGATTTTCCTTAGCCACTGAAAGATTTTTTTGTGTCCAATTCAGCATATCAGGTATATTTGCACCTGGATTATTCCACAGACGAGGTGACAACTTGGATCAGATTCTTATCAAGAAATAACAGTTATCTAGAAATCAGGTCATGTGAGGTCACAAACATGAGGTGGAGGTGCCCAGGACCTCATTAAAACCTTAAAACCAATGTAATAAAATCAAGGATCTTGTCCATCACTCCAAAAGAAATGCAGAGTGAGACAAATTTAAGAAACCGTCTCCTTAGTAATATGAAGGTCAGATCAGAGATGCAACAACCCCCATTTCATTTAGGGAATTGACTCATCTTTGTCATACTCGGACTCTTTCCCTTTGATTTAAACAGTCACATCATTCTGGGCTGAGAACCAGCTTTACTCTTACCACAGAGGAAAGACATTTTAATTAGATTAAGGTCAAATGAAGTGAAAGAGGCAGCAAGTTTCCTGAAATTTAGCAACTCCTCAAGAATTATTTTATACTGATTAGTCATTCACTGCCTTTATTTTGTCCTTTTTTAAAAACCAATAAAAGGACCAAAAAGAAGAAAACAGGACAACAAGGAGCTAAATTAACACCAACATGGCAAACAGGATTACGGAATATTTTCTCTCCTGCTGTTTTCCTTCCTGAGACTTTGTTGGCACCTGTTTGAACGGATGTCAGACAGCATTTCTCTTACGGCTAAACACAACCTATAGGCACCCACCTTGTGATCATATTACTGTTGTACTTGGGTCAAAAAAGCATTAAGGCTAAAACATTTCTACTGATAAGATACTAAGGAAAACACAAGTCAAGAGTGGCCACTTGCACTTGTTAGTCTTGAACAGACTTGTATTTTCAGTAAATAAATATTAGTATAGATAGCCTGTACTTGAAATGGAAAGAGTGAAAATACTAAAGAAATAAGCATTGGTTAAAGTCAAACAACCTTAAAAAAAAAGTTAAGGGCTGCTTCATCAGTCCCTATGAAATTAGGGACTTCCCTTAAAAAAAAAACTGTTGCTACTGCTCTATCAGTATAAATCATCTTTACAACTACAAACTGCAGCAAAACAGAGGATGAAATCAGGGAAGCCAGCACTCTTCCTGCCGCTCCTACAACCTCCAGATTGTAAATCCRACCCTCATTTCTAGTTTGCAAGTACAAACCAAACCAGTTTCTTAAAAGCTTTAAGTTTTTTCATTATATTTTTAAAGAAATGACCAATTCAGGAAAAAACACACTTCCTATTTCTGTAAATATTACATCTTAACAAAACAAACATAAAGTTTGGCATTTCAAACAGCCAAGATCCACTATCACTACACGGCACTGCAGCCTGGCTACACACATCAAGACTTCTAAAGTAAAGTGATTAATAGGGATGATTTAATAGTGCCTAACGGGGAATGTGATAGCTGCCCTGACCTTCCACRAGTCAAGAGCTCAGAATGAAGCTGGTTCAGTTATCAGGTCCTAWTCAGGGCCAAATTATACCCAAAAGAGTTGGAAGCAACTGACAGGTCACTGGCTCCCTGACCAGCTATGCAAAACGAGAGAGAAATAAGGGGAGAGAGATAGGTGCAACTGATAGGCCTTACGGTGCTGGCAGCCTCGGTCAAGAAGTTTGCTGCTCTCTCAGCTTAGATTTCAATTAACAAGCAAGCACTTGGGCAGCAACACATCCTTACCAGCATTTGTTGGCAGCAACAGGGTAAATACACAAGCGAACCCTGCAAATACCAGAAAAGAGGCCATAGTTCGTCGTCGGCCGCACCTGGGGACAGGAAGCAAACAACAGGCACACAGAGATGGTATCAAGGCTCCCRAATCTGTTGTTTTTGAATCTGATGGCAAAGGCCATCTGAAGTACGCAGCAACATCAGTAACAACTGCACCTATTGCACCAAGACTGTTGCTTTGAATCTCACTTATCTCAAGTCTGTAAACAAAGTTTTACCACAAAAGCTTTCTTATTTCTAGCTAAGTTTTGATTTGTAAACTATTGAATTTCTAGCCTTGAAAAGATGAAATACCTACACATACCTACAGGAATATACATGAACTTTTTGTTCACAGTATTATGCAAGACAGTTTGTCCTGCTGCTAAAAAAAGTATTGTAGTAAAAACAACACACAAAGATCAAGTTAATATTGGGTATGAAGATTCCAATACTTCTTAATCTACACTTCTATTATGTAACTTCAATTACATGCAATTATTACATTGAAAAGTTATTTGGTATATTTTTTCATCTAGTAGCATATACATGCAGAATACATAGGGTTTTTGAATTAAAAGAAAAGCAGACATCACAGAAAACAACCACCCATCTCCTTTTCAGATACTTTTGATGGCAGATAAGGACWACAAACATAGGTATTCTTAGTAATGAGTTGCAGTTGCATAAGAATTTGCATATGCTTGTTACTAAGTCACAGCTATTTCTAATTGCCCATACTAGAAAAAAACTTTCTAACAAAATATATATGGTAGGAGCTTTCAATCTTTTTCGTAAAAGAAGTTTAAGCTACTGYATAATAAAGCTAAATAAAACCTGATCATCTGACCTGTCACATTCTATTTTGTGTTAAACATAAATGTATGTGTACCCTTACTTTACGAAACAAACAAATATCTAAAAAATTGTAAATTACAACCAGAGGAATAGGTAGAAGATAACTAGGCCAGTTTGTGGTTTGAGTTGATGTCCTTGACCCAGGTTTCTGGGGAGTGGAGTGGGGCTGTTTGTCTTGGCTTTGAGCTTGGCAGAGCTGGCGGTTCCCTCTGCTGCCAAGGACACTCAAAAGGCAACACCTGCACTTCACCGAGGCAAGCTCTTTGTGCCTCAGCCTCAATGAGGCTAAGGTATTATTTTAAATGATCTTTAGAATGATGATTAAATAAAGTCCAGAAGAGCTTTAGGTCTCTGCACTGACTATTCCGTCTTTGGAAATAAAAACCCATGTAATGAATGGCCTCTAAATAGAGGGAGAAGTATGAAAACACAAGAGCACTGCCTATTCCTGCCTTAACGAAAACACTTCATTTTCTCCTCTGAGAACTTACAGTAAAATTTAAGAACATTTTAAACTGCTTTCAGTTGCAGTTAGTAAGCTACACAAAAGTTCGTTCTGAACAAAATATACCATATATATATATTTATGCGCTCAGGATACTTACATAACTAGGATACTTAGCACATATCCATAAAGAACACCAGACCTCTTCCCCCCCCCCCCCCACAGAGTTGAAAAGCTCAGCTCTTGAATATTTCAAAAACTAAATACAACTAAAAAGGCAGAAAAATCAAGAGTCCCATTTCAACTACAGAAATCCCTAGAGCTCACTAATCCCAGAAGAAGCTGGGAAAACAGTAAAGTATCTTACTGATATTTTTCTATGCTATCTACAGCTATAGGCGAAAAAATAGAAAATAAAACTTTCTTACCAGGATTTCTCAATAAAAACCATGCAGAGAGGAAATGCTGGAATTTCGACAAGACCATAAAGAGCCACATTTAAATACAGATTCCCTCTTAATTCACCAGCATTTAAAGTTAGCCCGTAGTACACAAAGCTGCAGACATACCTGGAAGCAACCACAGAAGTTTAGATTACTTATATAACTATTCTTTAAGGCTCAAATAGCACTTAAAAGCTAATTAATATATAACTCCATATAACTTGAGTTCCACACTGGGAAGACAACTTTCATTCCTCTCATCTCTGGCCTTAAAAAGGGGAAGAGATGGAGAATAGCTCCTATTTAAATGAACCAAACATTGAAATTTTTCTAATTCCYGAGAGAGAATGTTGATATGTGTGCACAGCATAGCTCTACACATTTTCCATTATTTCCATTACCAAGAACCTTTCTTGTAAGTTACTTAGCACATCTAATACACTGAGTTCAGGTGATGCTCAGTGCTGCAAAGCAGCCCTGCACAAGGGAGCAATTGAGCACATGAGATGTCCTGCATCTCTCTGCTCACCCAAGACATCAAACCACCAATTTTCCCATGGGAACGCTAAAGCAAAAGCGTCTTGGCATTCCGGAAAAGTTATTCCACAACCAGGTAACAGGAACAGATCAGACGGCCCCCTCAGCATCCTTTCCCTACGTACCAGATGTACATCAGTATGACAGTTCGCCACCGAAGGACTGGGTGCTTTACCAGGTTTAGGATACCAGGTGCCGGTTCCTCCTTGCTCAGAGTTCCTGCACCTGGCTTCAATTTCAGATTCAGTCGCTCTTTGCCATTACCAAGAGCAATGTACTGCAACACATGCTCAGCTTCTGCAGTTTTCCCTTGGGAATAGAGCCATCGTGGCGATTCTGGGAGCATACTAACAAGAGAAAAGATCAGTGATGAAAAGCTGGTTCCTATAAGCAGTGTACTAAATCAACCTTGTTTTTGAAAATAGCAATTTATAGAAACAAAAAAAAAGTAGAAATTCCTGGAGAAAAGAAAACAAAAAATKATTTGCATTGTTCAGCATATTAGATCTCACATACTCTGCGAGCGTTATACAGGTGACTATGCAATTATTTTTGGAGCTCTTTACAAAGCATTCACATTAATGTTGAGAGGAGTTTAAACCTAAATCTTGACCTCTGCTCAACCAACTTCTTATGAGATACRACCTAGCACTACCCTGGAAGCACCTCAAATTCCAACAATCTTCAGAATCACAAGAAAATTTTGTTCTCAGGAAGGTTTATTTCATTTTTTTTTCCATTAAAATAAATGGTGTAGAACATAGGTGAAGAGACAAGCAACTTCATTGTGAAATCAACTGCCAGCTGATCTCTGCCCGTACAACTTTCAAACCACTTGCTCCTACATAAAACCAAAACACCTTTGCTCAGTGCAACTTCCATCTGTGATTCCATTTTGCTTCCCTCCCCAAAGCTCAGTGTGCCATTTCACACGAGTGATAAAGCAAAAAGCAGTATTTTTGACYAAGCCTTGTTTTATTTTACTCTGACACTACAAAGAGATTGTTCAGATATACGTCCTACAAAGTTACATTTGGGTTATTGCAAAAGATGTTTTTTAATATAAATATTTATATAATATAAATACATATATATATCTGGGGGGAGGGAGAGTACTTCTATTTCTATCAGRAACATCACCATGGAGGGAGAAACATATTATCTCTATATAAAATATTATTTCACAAGGTCAAGGTTTCATTAAGAGTTGTTTTGTTTATTTTAACAGATACCATTTCAGCAAACCCATCTAAATATATAATGCATATGTATATGTCTGTATATGTGTATATATGTGCACACGTAGGTGTGAATATATATGTGGGCATATTCATATACATAGGGGTGTGTGCATCTCTTATCAGAAAAGCTGCTTTCTTCCTAATTCAGCTAGACATCCTTGTGTTTCACAAATACAACCTACTACACCAATAGCTCTCTGCTTTTCCTCTTACAGCTCATAATTGGTAATTAGTAGAAGGTATATTACTTGATATATTAAAACAATATTTTGTAACAACATATGCCAGGCAGGAACTAGCCTTTTCAAGTCACTAAATCCTGCTGTATTTCATACTGACTTGTACTGCAATGTCTGCTGAAGAACTGAAGTATGAACATGCGAACACAGATGCAGGAGCAGACGCAGGAGCAGATACCAGAGGACCCGCCTAGAAAGGCAGTCCCAACCAAGGATCCGCCTTTGTTTCCTACTGCATTCATTTGTCTCATGAAAGGGAGCCCCACAGACACCCTCGGAGCACTTCCAAAACTTCCCCGGCGCTGAAGCCCTTCCTTGGCAGCAGGCAGCATGCCCGGCCGCTGGCAGCCCTGCCCTGCCCTTCCTCAACAGCCTGCACACAGCTGCTCTTTGCAGCACTGGCCACAACTGTAACAGCATGCACAAACACAAGCTTTTCTGCTGGGGAATCCTGACCTTTTTTCACTTAGAATTGCTTCTTACTTCACTTTATCCTGATGACAGAGCTTTGCAGTATAATTTCCTCTTACTTGCTTCATTTTTTTCCATAGAAAAGTCACCCTTTTGAATGGCTACATTAAAAAAAAGCAACTGTAAGTGCACAACTCCTCTTCATSAGTATAAAGAACACGGTCCACTTACAAGGAGAGAAGAAAGAAGATGAGTCCTGGCGTATTGGACAGCAAGGCCAGGCAGCGCCATTCCCTCACCCAGTAGCCCAGCAGCGCGTACAYGGCAATGCCGACCGCAAACGTCAAGTTGGTCAGCGAACCTGCGAGCACAAAACCAAAGTGGTGACTACAGACACCAAGCAAAAGCTCGTATGTAAAAGCCTTAGCTTTCTAGCCGGTGATATGCTCAAATAGCCTACCAATAATACCTTTATGGCACYTGTCAACCTGCTGCCTTAAGTAAACAACGCATTCCCCATGGGAAATGCCATTGTAGAAGATTAACTCTTCCCCACCTCCCTCCCATCCCCACCTCYTTAAAAAGAAAGGCAAGCGTAAGAAAGGACCAGGAAGYCACAGACCAAAGAAGATCTGAGGGCAGGAAGGGGAATTATGTGATTTATTTAGGTCTATTGAGGTAATCTTGAATAGGGGTGGAAAGCTGAAACAAAAATTGGAAGTGAGCTATAAAAACACAAAGACTGATTTAGGTACAAAAACAGCTGCAAAACAAAGATACATTACAGTAAAATCAGTAAATTTCTGATGAACAAGCACAAATAAAAACATAAAAATCTATGGGGTCAGCTTCAAAACCAGCAGTATAGCAGAGGACTCTGCAGACTGCTAGAGCAGACCTAGTACTAACCCAGAAGCTGTCATGTCTAGCCTAGCTCACAGCCAGCACACAGGAGAACACTGCAGCTGAGCAGAAAGCTCAGGAGCTTCCTCCTCCTTTCAGCCACTGACCACTTGTTCAGCATCTCTTAACTGCTCAGAGGAACTAGAATAAAGCACCTAAAAGGACCAGCTGCAGGAAATAGAGTCTCTCTTCGGTCCCTGGGGAGGCTGGCCCTGCAGGGAAGGGGGCTGGGGAGACTGGAGACTGACAACAAGGGGGAGGGAAAGAAGGGCAGGAGAGAGAGGTGACATGAGTCAAAAAAGCCAACCCAGCAAGAAAGGAAAACACAGCACTTAAGCAGAGCTGAAGTGGAAAACCACAGCCAAACCACAACCTCCTCCCGCATCCCCAAAAGCTCAGATAAAGAAGTTGCAGAATAATTGAAGAACTGAGAGAAAGAAATAAGCTCACAGCCACAACAAGTCAGCATTTGCAACAAATTTTACCCCATATTATGCCTGCCAAAAAAGCATTAGAGTCTGAGTTACTCTAGCTTTACAACTGTATGACAAATAATTGCAAAATTTATTTTAAGTCTTGGCAGCAGCAAACCAAGAGGACCCTTAAAGACACTGGATGGTCAGCAAATCCATCAGCGGGGGGAACCACCAGCCACAGCACGGGCACTAAATCATTCTGTGGTGCAGGGAACTTCAAAGGCTACTTGAAAGAACATTTTCCAGAGAGATCATACAGCATCACTCAGAATCTGTCGGAATCTTCCAAGAGATTATAAATGAAGCAGTCCACAAATTGAGACATTTTAGGAATCATTGTGCTAGTTTAAAGACCTCAGAGATTCACCAATTATCAAACAAACCTGATCCTGTCTTCGATGTCCAAGCAACATTCCCACAGAAGTTAGAAATTGAATGAAACATCACACAGTCAATTTATACTATAAACTGAATTCATTTGCTACAAACATGCAAATTTAAATAGGTATTGCYAAGAACAATACTCTGCATAGTAATAAAGATTAAATATTCCCAAATCCCACCTGTAAGTGACCAAAATGATTTTCCTACATACTCTTGTGTTAGGACAAAAGACACAAGAGCCATTCCACCATTCACAATTCCAACAAAAAAACGGGAAACTGCAAATACATCGTAATTCGGAGCTAATGCTGTGACATACCCAAAAATGACATCAAAAAAGAGACCTGTAAAGACAGAATGACATGTGATTATTATTTACTATATGCAGGTTAAACAGAGCATAGAAGGGGAGCACAGTAACCRCCTGCTCCAGTGGTTATTCCAGGGTACCCCAGGGCCTCCCTCAGGCCTATACAAACTCCTGTAACACGAAAATTACAACTACCTCCAGGCCACTCCCTTGAGACCTGCAATCCCAAAAGAAAAGTTTGACACAATGTTATCCTTAAAAAAAAGACAAAGTTGCAAGACATACTTGCAAGCATAGCTGGGAAATAAGATCTCAATACACCCATTACTTGCTCTGAAAAAGTTTAGACAAATCATGTTCCTGAGGAGCATTATTCCCATGGGGAAAAATAGTGTGCATATGCATTCAAATACAGCATTGTGTTTTAGGTACATACATAGCAAAACCAAAGTCTTTTTAAATTGGCWTTCCAGAGACGAGAAGGATAAACACACAAGGCTGTAGACCCATAACCAATTGTAGTGCCATTCAACTCAGAAATGCTTATAAATATTAACAGCACTATTAGCAACACCTGAAAAACTATTTTAGCTTGATATCTAAACTGTCAACTCATTTTAATAGTCTTACCTGATATATAAACTGGTTTCCTCCCCAGCTTATCTGACAAGGGGCCAAATGTGATATTCCCAATAAGCAATCCAGCAAAAAACAGGGAAGATGCAAGACCCACTTTGTAGGCTTCTCCTTCAATTAGGTACCACTGTCAAAAAAACACACACAAAAAATAGAAAACCAAAAAAAAGCACACTCTCACAAAAACTATCATGTTCTCTGTTGTTAGTGCTATTAGCAGTAAGTTGCTGGTTCCAAAATAAAGAAAAACTATCCAAATTCTTCTGCTGTCATTTCCCACTGCTCACTTTACATCTACGTAAAGCTACACAGTTTCAAGTGTAGCTGATGAGGCAGGCAGGCACATCTCCTCTCCTCCTAGTATAGGCTCTTACATCTCTTCTTCCCCTCCCCTAGAAATCTCATTTTAATATAGCAAGCACGTTAAATTTCAGCGCTACATATTTAATTAAAATCCATCCCAATGACCAAACTTTTCTAAATCGACTTATTCTACATTATTAGAACCAGTAAAGGCCGTTTTAACTGCTTAGCCATTTCAGCGTTTAAAAGCTCAATTCTTTTGACGAAGAGTTAATAGAAACAAGCAAGAAATCAAGCACGGTCACCCCTGCAGCACTCGGTGCTGGGCAGTTACGTTCCTGGGATCCCGAAGAAGCCCAGGTGCCCCTCGTGACCGCACAGATGTTCTCCTGTTGTGGACAAGCCAGGGGCCCTTGGGGAAAGCCACCCTACCAAGGGCTCGCTTTTCAGGACTCGGACAGCTATTCCCTCTTCTTTTGCTTGGTTATAAATTCACAGGCAGGAAAGTAAAGCAACCTAGGGGTTTCTCCACACAATGTATTCTATGCCCATACGCTCACTCAGCTAAACTGAGGCAGGCTGGAAGCTTCACGAAGCAGCTCCCGAGGGCGCGAGGCTGGAGGCTGAGCCAGACCCCGCGGCCCCCAACATCGACACGGCCCCACACGCCCCGCTCCGCACACGGCGGGCACAGCCGGCAGCAAGCAGAAACCCTCCTATGAGTGATTATACAAGTAAAGAAAATACCTAAATAAGCTGTTTAGAAAAAAAGTAAACATTTAAAAATTATTAGAAATATGGTGGGAAATTTCCCCTGGAACAAAAATAAAAATATTCACACCAACACATCCTGACTTCTTAAATGACATTTATCACAGAATGATCTTTGTGTCAAATAAAGAAGGGTAGAAGGAGCCTTTTTTTTTCTGCTCCCAAAAAAGCAAAGGGTAACTCCAAGGAAAGGCACACGACCAAAACACTGTACAGTGCTGCAGGGCCTCAGCCCCCAGGGGTTCACCTTGAATTAATATAAACCCCAAAGAATACTCAGAATATTGAGGCAATAGCCCTCAACTTTAGAAGACTTGAGGATTCTCTGTGAAGGCAAGTTCCTGCACAGCAGCATTTGTAGCCGTGTTCTACCACCAGCCTCAGTAARTTTCAGTCTATCAGGGGATAATGATGCAGTTCCCCAAAACTCACCATTTCCTAATTTTCTGAACAGACGCCAAAAGGGAAATATTCCTGGCCACAAACAGGCCAGAAAGGCATCCTTCAGCTGGTATAAAAATAGCACAGCGCAGCACTGCTGGCGTACGTCTACTCCAGCCCTCCCCAGCATACAAATTACTGACTCATAGCTCTTATCCAGCAAAAGAAAACCAATAAAACCAAAACAAGCCCCATACCACTTCAATATACATTTTTTATTTTACTGTGCCTCTGAAATGGAARAGTGATCCTGGAAAACACTAATCAAGACAACCTGTTTCTGATAGAGGATATGATCCAATATTGCATCATTCCCTCCCATGCCTAACTGTTACATTTTCCCATGATAAACATCACACAATCACATCTGAGATAATAGGACAAAAGTTAAAATYGGGCATGAGCCATGTCAAATGCTAATCTTCCTCAGCAATTTTACAGAAAAGCTGCTCCAAGAAAACATCAGCAGAAGCCTGACAGTTTACACTAAATCAAACTACTCACGCATTTTTATTTTTGTGGCACTGGCAAAGATACTTAGACCATTTGCTCCTGCCTGAGCGATTATGTCCCAGGGATTAGCAAAAAGCAAACCCAAATTTTCACATGAAACTGCTAAGACATAAGGATTAAAGGTCAAGCTTGCGTCTCACACATCAACCTTCAATCTGTTCCATCTCCTATGCCTACCACACACAAAAAGATTCAGGCCTGTGATGTGTGAATTGAACTTTTATAATAGTTTTACTTTAAAATGCCTCTTCTTTGAGAGCATGATGCAAGTTACAGTGAAGATYAAGTAAACAGCACAAATTAGACATGACACAATTGATCTTTTGCTCGATAAAGAACAGATGTTAGGAGAAGCCTAACTAAAGTCATGGTTCAAGTAGTCAAGTGATACACTGACCATCCTTCTCCTTCATAACTTTCAAAACCATTTGAGAATAAAGAAAACTGAAGGAAAAACAAATTAAGCTTAACAAAACTAAATTATTTTAAGAGTTGGACTTTTGAATTAAACTAAGAATTTAACTGTATACTTTCTGATWATGAAAAATAACATGACAGCAGATGGGTGGGTTATGATAGTTTTTAATTGTGTAAGCAAAACACTAAATTAAGTCCTATTCAGCTTTGAGAGCTGCACTGATGACATAAATCTGCAAGTGAAAAAGAAATGGTTACGCACAAGCAAAGTACTTACCTCAGTTACTATTGAGGTGAAGTTGTTTGCAAAATGGATGTGTTTGGAAAGCTCAGCTCTGCCAACYGGAATTTCCTCTTGGTCAATATGATACTCGGGTGCAGCTCCCACAAGCACAATAAGCATCGACTGACAAGCCACATATACCTTAAAATAAGATACATATAATTAACTGCAAACCATTTCCAAGGGGGCTTKCCCTCATTTAAGGGCACGTTGTAAGCATTTCATTACGCTAATAAAAAAAAAACCCTTTACTCAGCCTCACATAGGCCGAATATGAACAACCTGTCTCTGATTTTTAGCTCTTCACTGTTGATTTAGATAGGCAAAGTTATTTTGAAGCAGTCATATTATGCTTACCTTGAGCATTCTTACAGAAGTTTTGTTTTCTCCCCTCTCAATTCCTTCCTCCATTACTTAACTACTGTAATTTGGAAGACGCGACCGCGCTAGCGCGAGGAAGCCAGTCAGGACGGGGCAGAGGAGGGCGCGAGCAGGGCAGGGGCTGCGGGCAGCAGGCCACRAGCGCGCCCCGCGCAGCTCCGTGAGAGGGGCCAGGCAGCTGCCACGGCTTGGGGYCCCTTCCTCCCGCTCCACAGGAGCCTGCAAAGCAGCCTGCAAAGAGTGGGGCACGTGTTCAAAAGCCATGAACAGAGAAAGACTGAACCTGCGATAAACTACACTGCAAGGAGACCAGGAAATGATCTGGAAAACACCTTACAAGAGGGACAGCACRGAACTTCCCCAGCACCAGTGCCCGTGAAGGAGGCCAGGAAGCCGGCTGACRGTGGGAGCGGTGACGGGGCTCACGGTCACGGCCAAGCCCAGCGCAGCACGATGAGGGGTGCTACAAGAGCCACCCCAGCATCGCTGTGGGCTGCGGAGCAGCRGCAGCCGGGCTCCAAGCCCCCCCGGCGCTCCATGCAGACCCCTGTGGAAGCTGTRAGGATCCCCAACACGGCAGGGGAGTGGGGAGCGCCTTCCTCTGCTCAGCGCAGCGGGTGCCCAGGGCTGGGATCCACGCTGCCGACCAGGCGCCCAGCACCGCCCACCCAGACCCTCCGGGGGCCCCCTCCTGGGCYGCCCTCAGCCCGGCCGGCAGCGGGTGCCAGGGCTGTCGCACCGGCAGCCCGGAGCACCATGACAGCCCGGAGCACAGCCACGGCAGCCCGAGCAGCACCGCCACGTGGGCAAGCAGATCCTGGTGCGCCGGGACGGACAGCCACAGCGAGCAGCCAGGAGCAGCGGCTGCCGCGGCCTCGCGCCCCGAGCGGCCGTTGGAGCCCTTGGGAGGCCCCTCACCTGCAGCAGCACCAGGAGGCCCACGAGGCGCCGCTGGCCGCCGCCGAACTCGCCCGCCGCACCGAAGGCCTCCTCAAGCTCCAGGGCCATGGCCCTGCCGCCGCCGGCACCTCCCCCGCGGGCAGGCCCGCCCCTGGGCCAGCCCGGCCGCTTCCCGCTGCTGCCCAGGGCCTGCCTCCTTTCCCCATGGATAGAGGGGCTCCAGGGCAGCKGGCGGGCACACAGGGCAGCCCTACCCTCCCTGCAGGGCGGCAGCTCAGACAGGGCTCCCTGAGCTGGGCTGAACAACCAGCTGCGGCCAGGGAGGCAGCTCTCCAGCCAGGAGCTCCGCTTCCTGAGGGGCAGCGTTTCCCCACTAGGCTTTAATCCAGCCTGGAGCAGCAATGCCGCTAGCAAGGGGTGATTGTGCCCAGTCTCCCTCGCTCCAGGCCTCATCTGGGCTCCCAGCAGGTTCCTGGGCACCTGCAGAACAAGCSCAGTGAGGCTGCTCCTTCAGTGAAAGAAATCAGGCTACCCACCAGGCTCCCTTCACCCGCTGTCTCTTTATCCAATTTGCAAGAAGTAACATCTAAGACATCTGCATCCAAGGGACAAGGGGAACTCAAAGCCAGCACTAGCAATTCTGCCATGAAGGACAGTAATCCTGGTTCGTACCCAGTAACCCTGCTGTAAACAGGTCCAACAMAAAAGCAACATACACAGCTGCCTCGGGTGCACCAAATTCCTCCAGCACACTTGACAATACTAGGAAATAGACAGCTATATAAGACAGTTGGAAAAACACACCTTTAACATTGTATTGGCTTAGAGAGTTTAGTTCCTTTTTGTTYAAGCTTGCGAGGGCCTCTCCTCAGGCAGCCAGTGCAGCAAGCCCTCTCCCTGGAGGTGACTCCCTCTTGGCATTCGTGCAAGTTCTCCTGCAGGACATCAACCAGGATGCTGCAGCTCGGGGAAGAGCAGCACATGACATAGCTGGTGCTATTGCCCGGGGAAATAAAAGCAGTGAGGGTCAAAGTGCTGCTTACCTGGCATCTTTCACCTTCCTCATATACTGAATCCCTGTATCATTCACAGGCAACAGTGAAATTCTGCSTTTTGCAGGAAGTCCTGACAGTCCCTTTACAGCAGTTATCTTCATTCCTACTCTAATTCCAATAGAGCAGTCTTGTCAAGCTTTCAGAGGCAGGCAGACTTTCAAGCATGGCAGGCTCTCTTTTTGTTCCTGAATGCATCTACAGAAAGCACGAAAACAATTTGAAAACCCACTAACRTTACAGTCCTATTAGGGTCCCTCTCAATAATCTCTTTGTAACTTCATATAAAAACTAAACCCAAGTTAAAAAAAATAAAATAAAGCCTTCCCCTCTACACACACATACCTCCCAGCAAGACTGCACCTGCTTCACCGTGGGCATTTGGACTAGGCTCTGTCAAGCACTATGTTAGACTTGCCACATAATCACTCCCCGTGCAGGTGTCAGCATAAGCTGCAGCACAAGAGCAGCTCTCAGCCCAAATCCATGAGTGTTCCTGCTCCATGCTAAACATCAGTAAAGGGGAAAAGAAAAGGGGGCAACTTTTTCCCCAATAGCCACAATTCCCTTAATAGGTGGTATTTTTATACTGTATTAACTGATAGGAACTAAGAGTCATTTTAACAGTCTTCATTTCTAGGATAATACTGTCACAGTGCMTAGGATATAGGCAGTTACAAATAGTACTAAACAAAGCCTAACAAGTAAGGTCTGAAAAACTAAGGTAGCTTTTTTTTGTTTGTTTCTCTCTTGATGATAGCAGCATACCTGAGAGAAGATTTGAGACCCCTGAATTTATCCATTCAAATATACATAGTTTTAGACACACACAGTTTTGTTTTTCTAAGAATTCCAAGGATTCCTGAAGGCCCTTTGTTCTTTTGGGGGCTTAGGCATTCAATTTTAGCTTTATCATCAACAAAACATCTAAATAAACWGATAAAACCACTTGATTTGAGTTACCTTAATAGGGCAGGTTTCACTCAAGTTAAAATGAGCATTAGGCTCCAACCCAAAACCTCAATGACAGCTTAGTCATCCTTCAAACAGTATTAGACATCTCTTCAAAACTCAGTTAAGACTGTTTAACTACAGGAGCCATAATAAAATACAAATTACAGGGAGTAATCAGTTGGTAAGTCATAATTCAGGTAATAAAATATCCACTGCATCCTGCTCAAAGCAGCATTTATTGGAGACAGAATCAAGATAAGTCAATGCATAACAAAGCTTTCCCTCCTACAAATATGTAAACAAGTTGACAGCAAGTTATTATTACAATATAAAAATTAAAGCTTATATTTCTTTAAAGCTAACTTTAGTCTCAATACAGTCTCTGGTCTGCAGCACTTAAAAACAAGAGTCCTTGAAAAATGTTACAGTATTATCTTTACAAACATCTCTGTAGAAAAATACTTACAAACAACAGCTTCCCATACATAAAAGCAACACCAAAAATAAAACTTATCTTTTGTCGTGAACAACAAATACTAAATGCATATAGTATTTACATCACCATTCTCTTTACCCAAATTAGTTTCCGGTAATTTTAGAATTCAGGATAATCACAAAAAATCTGTTATTATAATATTCAGATACTTTCAGGTAGCAAAATCATCAGTATTAATAAGCTAATATTGGCAATTMCTTTGCAATCAGTTTGGCCTTTATTTGCTACGGAGACCATCAATTTAATCCTTGTCTCAGTGTGATTTTTCAAGTGAAAGGGCAGGAAGCCCTTGCTAAGAAATCATGAGKCAGTTCAGAGAGATTTTGGGAAGGCCTACAGCCTATGATGATTTAAATGCATGTTCTARGTACCTTTAATCTCTGGGGAAGTTTCTATTCTCACCTATATCATCAGTTCCATTGGCGGCAGTCAGTTTCTAGAAACGCTTCCCTCATAACAGCACATAATTTGACATGAACTATTTTGAATTCAAAAAATAAAAATAAAGTTAAACCAAATTGTTTTAAACCAAGACATTTATCTACAAGAAATGCATTGATCACTTCTGCAGCTGCTAAGGCAAAAAAGTTGGAATAATCCCTGTACAAAGTTAAAAGATTGCATAATACTTTAAAAAGTCAACTAAATCCAACAAGCCAAGAGAAATATGTAACATTTGGATGAATTCAAACATGCCATTGTGTCCTATCAAGCATCTATAGACAGTGAACAGCAAAGAAGAAAATTTGACACCAAGAATGGACCAGATACAAGGTAAATTCAACAAAAAGAATCCAGCTGTCATGAAAGTGCTTTACAGTAGGACATCCAACAGAAAAAACAGTTGGAAAAACAAATTTATGTCAGTCAAGATGATATTAGCCGAGAGAACATAACACATCTATACACAAGCACTAATTATCATGAATACTGCCAGCATTCTTAGCTCCATGCATGTGTCCCCCAGAAAAGTGTTTTTCCAGAAGCTGAACCCCTAGGCAAGGGGGGAAGGGAACCAAATTAGAACCTATTCATTAGCACAGTGACTTTACAGCAAGTCATTTCCAACAACACTTCCCATGTAATGAAATCAAAACAAGAAATTTCTGTCCTATCACAATGTARTAAAAACTATGCAAGTGCAATATGGCATTTGAGCAGAGAAAGCAAATGAACATAATATGTATATTACACGAAARAAGGATGAATTGAATAAAAGTTATGTAAAGGATGAAATATTTTTAGATTAGTGTTTTGACCAACTACATTTGGTATTTGCAGCAGAACAATACTGCTGACCAAGTCGCTGGCTGGRTCACTCGACTGGCCTGCTATTAGTCAGTTAAGAGATGTGAATAAATACCTTGCAGCATGAAGCTTTGCAAAAACCTTCCCTGTGGAGCTAGCCATGAGTTTTGTCACTATTTAACTAGCCAGTCATGTTTGAGAGGCAAACATGCACAACATGAAATAAGTACACCAAGTTAATGATTTTGAGCCCTTTAATTGTGCAAGGAATACACCCTCTGGAACAGCATCTACCTGTCCAAGCAACAGGTATCTGCAATTCTGAAAGACTCACCCTGCTCCTTCATATAGGTTTCTGACCTATTAGGAAAGGACAGTCTTATTGCCATGCTTACAAAAAAGCCAGACAAACACTGAGTTAGTGCAAGATGCACTAGCAAGTGCTTGAGAAGGATGCTCAACTAGAGAATAAGGACTTAGAGATTCCATTCCAAACCCACATTTTTCTAGTTTSAAGTAGGAGAAGATACGAAAGTCTTCTCCTAACTTCCTAATACGAGGGCACACATATAGCCCTTCCTATCTATAGCCTTCCTACACTCAGGGAAACAGATGGGAAGCACAAGCATTCCTGGAGCACAAGACACCCCACAGGCCAGAGGCCACCTTCCTTAACATCTCCTCCAAAGCCCACAAAGAATTCTGCCACAAAATGATTGTACTACCAAGAGAAGAATAAAACTCTACAGAAAGAGAAATATGATTTGCAGCGCTGTACAACTCCACTGGGCTACCAGATAACCCCAGTCCTGACCAGCATCTTCAAATACCAGACAGGAAGGCTAGCAAAATCTGATCATCTGACAGCAGCAAGTGCCAATTCCCCTGTACAGAGGGGCATAAACAGGGCCTTACAAAGCTAGGTCACAAGCTGGTTTTGGTTAGCGGATAGTACTTCCACACTATCCTCATTTGGGAGGGAGCAGGCTTCCTGCCTTCTGGCATGCTACTCTGTTCTGTAGAAAATACCAGCTTTRGCTTTGGAGTCACAAACGGAATGTTGCAGCTTCTTGCCGAAGCGTTCAAGTGCCTTGGCACGCTAGAAGCACTGTGTCAGTGTTCTTCGATTTGTCCCACACAAATGCACTTGACCTACAAATGTCTACTATAGCAGGCCAGCAGCATGACTCCAGGACAGACCAGCTGCATCTTCATCCACGCCATGCAAACCCTTGTCCAGAGGAGGCTGCAGATCAGTTCAGATGCCACTCCACAGTAACGGGCCACTAAGAGTCAGCAGTGAACCTGCTATAGCTCTAAAAAAAATACAAGGACCTGCAGTAGAGCCTTAAGCAAGTGTTTAAAAGCACCGCAGCAGACTTGTGGTGAATGCCACACCTAGAGAAAGCTCCAGGGACTGGTGTCTGTGATTCAAGAGTAAGAGGCCACCGCATGCCATTTTCCTTTAAATAAAAGTAACACCATGTATGCCAATGCCAAGTAATAAAATACTATCTACAGAGCAGAGACCTCCCTTCTCATCTACAAGAAAACTAGTCACATAGAAAACTAAGTTAGTCCACCTCTGAGAAATACAGAAAACAGAACCATGAGAAACCTCAAAAGGTTCCTTAATTAATCTTACTATGCAAATAACTGACATGGGACACTAGGTTGGGGCATAGCTGACTTAATCAGTTAAAGACCATTAGAAAAAGCTATTTATATATAAATAWTGTAGTAATATAGCAGCAGAAAATACTACACAGCCAATTTTAGAATTGATATAAGATATGAAATAGATGCACTTGAATACATACACATGTATATATTCATATATTGTTAAGGTCATCTAGAGCAAAAACAAGACCTGAATAGCCTATCATATATGTGCATTGATGTCAGCATGACTTCTATTTTAGAGCTGACAGACCTCAGGGATACGAGCAGCCTGTCACTGGAATTGCTACAAGTGTCACTTACCACAACTTTAACCAAAAACTGACTTTGTAAGTCCTGTTACCTCTTTCTAGCTGAAGAGAGGGCAGGAAGGGAAACACCACAGAAAACCCTGCAGCCCTGTAACACACAGAAAGGCACCTGATAATGTTAAGTGTTAGTAGCAGTTATCTACAGCATCTTAGTAAACTGAGATAAACTTAAAARGGACTACGAAATGGATTTGCTGGCATTCAAAACCTAAGTCTAACTTACCTAAAAAGCCACTAAAATGTTATGTAAAGTAGTAAATGTGCAAAACTATGCAGTTTTGCATAAAGTGCTACACATATCCCACCCCCCAGTTTGCACCTATTGATCTCAAGTCTGGAAATATGATGAAAGAAGATCTTAAAGAAAAGACCCAATTAGGTATAACCTTTCCTTGCCCACCTTCATCCACTGTCCTTTAAACAGTACATTTTTAAGTTACATCAAGTTATAGTGTTTTTCAAGAATTGTAGTTCAGAAAAATATTTAAGGTATTCTTATCTTTCCACGTAAACYAGGAGACAGTGAATTTGATGAGTTCCAAACACTTCACAAAAGCCTCTGCTAATTCACTTGGACTTGAGTTACCTTGGTCTGTTAGTATCTCTGGAAAAAGCTAGGCTATTTTTTGTCACTCATTTAATTCTCAGCTATTGAGTGCTGAAACTCATTATCTGTCCAGATTTGTCCAAACATGCAATGACATAGAAGCAGAGGAATACTTTATCCAACAGGCTCTTAAAAATCAAGTCCTCCCATATCCATTCATACATATTCATTACATGAATTACACACACACAGATCTTTAGCATTTGATTACTGAAGTCAAGTTGTCAAAATACAGCAGTTAGTCTTGCAGGAATTGTGCAGTACACTCAAAAATACACTGTAGGCCTCTTCTTTACTCTATATTTCAATGATCCATAGCGTATCTGATGAGGAAACAAAACAAAGTTAGGATGGCCACACGCAGCCTACCACTACTACCATTCAATAAACTGACTTTTAACATGCTCTAGGCACTCCACTTATTGAACAAAATTATCTAGTTCTGGTAGAAATATATCTTCAGTAAAATGGGACATGAAAGGAAGGGCTCATTTGTTYCCTCAAAAGAGTAAGATCTCTTGGGAGACTCCTTATATATTTATTCTGAAGAATTTTTGAGATACACATATACACAGAGGACTCTGAATACATGGAAACGTCCTCGTGGGTTAAGTGGCAGGCAATATGGAATAGCACAGAGCGTCTGCACGAACCAAGAACTCAGAAGAGGCTGTCATGKGCTGAGCAGCACATAGGTAACCGCGCCCGACTAAGACATTCAAATGGAGATGACGCTGCCTCCACCCCCTCCCASGGCAAGGATGCCTGGAACCAGGGCCTGGTGGTGCCAGCCTTAACAGCACAAGCACAGACCTATTTCCCATCTTCCCTTTTGTTATTTTCCCCTTCCACACATACTGCACTTAAGCATCCCAAAGTGAAGAAAGCTCTAAGCCTTGTTATTATCACATACTTTCTTCTCCATTTGATATTCTACAGCCCACTTACTGTTGATAATATCTCAAAAGAGAAAAAATACTTTAAATTCTGCTTTAAAAGCATCAAGGTACATGATTGAACAAGCTCAATGATCAAGCAATTCACACTTGCCTCCTTACGGCCTTTAACAGTTTTCACAGACTTCATGCTCTGAGACCTTCGAAGGCCTCTCTGAGCAAACATCTCATCTTCTGAATGCGTCCCCTCCATATCTTCATCTGTTTTATCATCTCCAGGAGTTTTTTCCAAGGGCATTTTGTAACCTTTAAAAAGAAGTTGCGTAAAGTATTTAACAGGAAATAATTAATGTTTATATTTTTAGTGAAATCATGAACATATCTTTTAACACAGAGGCTTTATCTAAAGAATGTATCAGTCCGTCAGCTGTCCAGAAGGAAACAGAATGCAGTTTCATGCTTGCTTGCAAGAGTTCAGGTTACTGTGGTTCAGGATTAATGCCAAATACTGTATCCATGGCAAGTTTACACCAGTCTTCAAAACAACAAAATAGTTCCAAGTGTCATGTTTTCTCACTTCGGAAGTATCATGTACCTGTTGTTCTGGGGAGAATTTTTCAGTAGCATGTCTCAAATCTCTTAAAAAACATTATGTTGAAATACAAGATGAAAACTAGGAAGCCATAAAGCAACAGGGTTTCTCATGACACACTTTCTACTCCATATAAGCATAATTAACACCAACTGATTAGGTTTCTTCTCTCAACCTTATTCTCCACTCCCTTTCCCACACTTAAGGAACAAATCATAACCTCTCTACTTCATTTCTCCCACTTACTGCCAGAGTTCATTTCAAGCTCATAGTTCAGGATCTAGGCTTAGTTTTTAGATCTTTGATTATCTTTCCTCATATTCATATACTTCCATACATATATCTAATATCAAAGTTCATTTCAGATGGATATGATGTTGAAGTGTTATTTTTAAGGGTAGTTTAARTCCTGCAAATTAGGATCAAGATTATTACCAGCAACTCTCACTAGAGGGTGCAAACTGCTTAAAAACAGATGCTGAAGAGACTGAGGGTCATGGAGGCCCAGTCTCCTGTCACCAACATACCATAAGGTCCTTCCCATAAGAGCTCTGTTTTATGCACCCAGGCCCTTATTCAGGCCATTCCAGAACCCATGGGCTCCAACACTCAGACAACTCGAGTCTTCCAAAAGGGAAAGGAAGGAAAAGCAGTCAAAGAAAGCTTTCCAAAAGAAATAGCAATCACTTTTCAATTGAGAGGCTAAAAAGGACCATTGACAGATAGCYACTGAAGCCTCTTAAGTAGAGACTTGTAGAAAAACACAGATTGCTGCATAGTCTCTTGAGCATTGACATGCAGCCTATTATGACAAGTAAATGCTTCCATTCTACCCATCATCTTCCCATCAGTAAGTTTTACTTCAGCTGGTAATTCCTGTTGCTAATTGTCAGAGATAGGAGCAATAAGCAGAGTTTGACAACATTGCTAGTGGCTGTGAGAAGAAAGCAGTTTTGAAGGTATTTCTTTAGCAATGCAGTATGTCCTGCTCACGTGAACATTGTTCAAATATGCAGAAATCCTTTGGAACCTTTACTATTTCTAGGCACAAAGTATATCCCTGTTCTTCCTCATGTGCCTTTCACGTACTTTCTATAGCCAAAACCCAAATCCTTTGTTTTTGTACTGACACTTACCTGCAGATTCACTCGTAGAGGCTCTGGTTTTCCTTTTTGTGTCTGGCAGTGTTTGRTAAGGTCTCTGGCCCACTGGCTCGTCTCCTTGTATGGTAGTCAGGTCATGCATACTGAAACTCCTCAGCTTCTCAGTTATTGCACCTTGACTCTGAAACAGAAGAGTGTCTTCAAAAACATATGTTTTTGACCTCGCTATTCAAGCTGGTTCAAGAAGGTTATGGGATATTACATATATTCTTCTTGGGATATTACAAAATCTACTGAACACAGGCATGCAAGAAGTTTACATTCATTYTTACTTGAGCTTCACTACATATTACTCTTAGAGAGAAAGAATAGACTAAATTCAGAATTTAATTTCTAATTTCTCACTTTACTCCTTAAATATTATCAAATAAAGGCAAGGAATCTTTAAAGCTACAAAAATACATGTTCAAAACACTCTGGACATTGTATTTCTGAAGCAGTACTACGTAGTATGACCACAGTTTTTACACACCCCTTAAAGAATGTGGCTCAAGAGAAAAAAAATGCAATTTTTATTTTATTTTCATAAATTTCAATAGGTAGAAGGAGAAAAGCATTAAAAAATACAACATTAAACCAAACAACTAAAAAACTGGCAGCACTAGGTGACAGAAAACCTGAAATCATAAACCAAAGATTTATGGACTGACTACAAGCAACCAGATTCTCTTAGAGAGATCTTTGACACAATACAAACTCAAGATCTAGTACCACATACAAGTATAATTAACCCTACTTGAACATTAATATTSCTTATCTTCATCTACATCTCTTCTGCATGGAAGCTACAGAGTCTCCCTTAAGAAAGGTATTTTGTCAGACATATTATTAAGATTAGATATAAAATGAAACAAAAGTATTGCAGATTAACTTCACAATATTGTATGAAGCAATATAAAGAACAAGTACATTGAGCAATAACACATTAAAGTAATATTTGTTTCTTCCTTCTTGGACGGAGAGAGCAAAAATTAGCACTTCAGAGGAAGGATAATCTGTACACTGCTTCCACCTTGAAGGAAGCTTCATCATTCTTTTTGTTTTACTTTATTCTTTAAAATTAAGTGTTGCATAAAACCCCCATTGGAGCACTAAGAGCTAAGAGTGCAGGAGTCTGTTGGGGCAGGATTCCGAACACCCTCCCCGGCCACGGCACCAGCAGGCAGTTCCCAGAGGCAGTTCCCAGCCAGGCACGGCTGTTTCTGAGCCCGCAGCTGCTTGCAGATGGCAGCAGGACACGGAGGTCAGCCCTGCCAAAAATAACCCGAGAGCAGCGAGTGCAGGGACACTCCCCAGGTCTGCACAAAGGGCGCACGGGGAGGGGCTGAAACTCAATACTCATTTCCTAATGACCAGTCTTCAGTCCAACACCAAATTAACAGTGTTCTATACAGACAGGAACGATGTAATTTAATTCTTGCCTCCATCAGACATTGCAACTAAACAATTATGAAGATTACTTTCCTCAGGAGGGAAGCAGAGGCCTTTATTTTTCCAGTTCTTCCTACGCACATGGAGGAAGACTGACAGTTCTCAGCACAACTGCAGTTTCTGGCTTAGTTACCATGTTTTGTTGACGCTGCACAGGCTTGTGCACAGAATTTGCTGGAAGTTCTGCAGTTAAGTTATTTTCCTGAAATGCCTTTTCAACAATTCACTGCTTTACCTGACTGCCACTTCCCAAACACCAAGGGAACCTAAGGCCAGTCTGTCACTACAGTAGGCATCCTGCTACGCCTGTTCTTGCATAAAAAAGCATTTGCATTTTAAACTGAATCAGGAATCAACTATGCTTGAGAACTAACACTCGTCTGTGAGGACACATGAAAACACGAAGRGTCAGAAGTGCTGCTTTTGACAGCAACCACCAGCGCACATTTGCTGCAGAKCTGTTCAGTCTGCACATGCTGCTGCAGGAGACATCAGCCCGGGATCAGCAYCTCAAATGGACCCATCCAGTTCTCAACAGAATCCACATGGATTCAACACAACTGCATTTGCTTTAGAAATGGCGGGAATCTACTGCAACTTAGTAGTAGAAGCAGGTTTGGCCCTAAACAAGGTACAGAAAAAAATAAACAATTGCTTAATGGTTGCATAATGAGTTTGTTCATCAGGTGATGTACTAGAGATAACCAGATAGAAACTGTACAGCAAAACACAATTAAGATGATAGTAATTAGGGTACCAAGAAGAATTCAAGTTACAAGCCCGTATCCACTACTTCTCGCTAGGGAGGCAAGGGACTGCAGCCTAGCTGGGAATGTTCAGCCTTGCTTTTTCAAGGCAGCTTTTGCATAGCAAGTTTCACTTCCMAAGGAGAAGAGGCAAACTCCAGGCCACAGAGCAACACTGTGTCCCGAGGCAGTGGCCCAGCTCCCGCAGCCATGGCTCYCGGGAATGCTGCCGCATCCAAGGAGGATGTGGCGGACGGCGCCTTCGCTCCCAGAGCCCTTGCCATGAGGGAGGGTTCACTCAAGCCATACTTGCAACAAATGCTAACAAGTTTATTAAAAATACACACTAATAAGATGCAGCACATATGCCCAACAGTATAGATGAGGGCTCTGCATCCACTGCTGTACTGCACAGTACCTCCCTACAGAAATAGCCTCCAGTCTCCTCCTGCCTGGAGGCAGCCCCTGGTTCCCCGCCCCACCCAGATCAGGACAGACCATGCAGGGTGTGCAGCAGGACTGAAAGTAGGAGACAAGGCCCAAGTTTTTACAAACCACCAGTCTCCTAGAATACATTCCRGGCAAGCCTGAGGAAGGTTATTCCTTCAGCAAAGCCCAGAAGGAACAGAATTACTTTCTGTTGCAATGAAGCATTTCTGCAGGTGTGGAGCACCCACAGCTCAGAACAAGAGCCTGTCCGAAACACTGCGGGCTCCACGGAGCCTCCCTGGGTGCAGGGCCACGCGCAGCGCCCGCATTCCCAGCTGCTCTCCCGGGTCGGATGGCCGGCCCATCCCTGGAGGGGACGGGGCCCCGCGGGAGCGAGGAAGGCAGCAGAGCCCAGGTGAGCTGCTGCTCCTGGTGCTGCTGCAGCCGCCGGTGCCCAGCTGCAAGGGGCACAGCACAAACAGCGTCCAGCAGGAAAGCAGCACATCCAGGGGGACCTGGCAGCACGGAAACATTTGCCCTCAAAAACCAGCTTTTAAACTAGAGAGCTTCAACAAGTTTCATATTAGCAACAAAATTCCTTAGTTTTTTATACCCTAAAGAAAAGCTTTTAGAAAGATTGGTTTTCTTATTTTTTTCTCATCTGTGCCACCTAGCATATTGCAAAGAATATTTTCAAGTGGTGCCTGTAAACCTACAGAGGCAGTGCAGACAAACCAAGGAAACATACTGCAAGCAGTCTGAAAAGGAAAGGGCAGCTTTATGATCAAAAGGCACTATTTGGAGATGCTCTTCATGCAAACAGTGGCCAATTCCAGCCCCAAAGTGTCAGCACGGGGCAGAAAGCAGAAGCTGTTGCTGCTGCCAGTCACATTCAACCACCCTACAACGGAGCAGGTTTAAGTCCAGGCCAGGTTTCAGCAGCCAGTCCTGGGGGCTGTCTGCACCAGCCGGCCTTTCATCACTAATCCTGCATGCCTTCAACAGCCCCTGCAGAAAAGCATTTTCCCCCACTTTCCACCCTGTAAACATGCCAGAAAGTTTAGGAGGGCAGTAAAATTGCCTGTAATGGCAGGCAGAGATCCCCATGGCCTTCACTTGGACACTTCYATGTAGAGAAGCCTTCTTTGGACCTCTTCTTGCTCTTGCCTCTCAGTCCCTGCTCCTAATTTGAGATGCAGCACGTGAGAGTAAGCCTGTCTGCCCCTAACTCTAAGCCCCAAAAATAAATATATAAAACACAAAGTGTCAACTGTGCCTCTCTCCCATCAGAGATGTTTCCACTAACAGGATTCCATTCCTGAAACCCTATAGCACACTCCTCCAACGCCTGCTGCAGGGATAATCTTTTCACCTGCTGGAGGCAGCAGTCAGTTCTTGGAAAAATAGAGAATAAAATCAACACCACATGCGTCGTCTCCATTTGCGTGCACACAGCAGCCACACTCAGCTTCTTGGAATGAGAAACTGGAGAGAGGTTTAAAAGCTTAACATGCCAAAATAGAAGTTTTTTTTTTATTTAAGTCTCCTCTTTAAAAATGTCTATTTAAGTATTTGGTATTGTGGTGGCTTTTTTCAAGTGTCTCATTCTGCACTAATTCTATGCAAATATTCATGAGCATGTTTAACAAGCAAGTTTTAACAAATAGCGCAGGCGTCTTGCCAGTCACAGCTGAACAGCAATGAAATCCAAACATGGACATTCGCTCAGAAGTTATTTATCACTTCAGAAGAAGGTGGGAGGAGATATGCATGTTATTTATTTTACAATATTTAACCTAGCACTGCAAGGATTAACAGGAAAACATCCACCTTAGCCAGCCAGACAAGAGGAAAAAAACATACGGAGCATAAGCATCATTGCAGGTGCACAGCTGGTATGTTACTATTGCTGCTTGGCAGGAAAAAAAAGCATTTTTAGTATTTAAAATAGCCCCATTCTCAGATTCTAACAGTGGCTTACCTGTGTAAGATTTTAAATGATCTGTTTTCATGATGGATACTACTATTCCTCTGGAGGAATGCTCTACTGCGAGTTTGAATAGTAAATAACACCAGTGACCCAGCTGAAGCACACTTTCAGGATTTAAAAATACTGATGTTATGAGCTTGAAACAGAATTATTTTCAAGCTACTACCCACAAGTTTTTAAAGAGAGAAAAGCACACAAAGAATAGGCAGGATTCCTTCCAAATCTTCATTTTACAACAGCATTTGAAGATGTAGTTCTCAAAAGTGTCTTTGCTTTATAAGGTAACAAACTCCCAAGTATAGAAATTTCTTAACTTAAATACTAACTGTTCTTAACTGTGACAGCCTAAGATCTCTACACTGCTTCACAGCATCAATTAAGAGCTTTCAAGTTCAGTCCTGTTACTCGGAACATGTTTATATATTCTTTTCCAGGAAGAATTCAGCCCAACATGCTTGAAACTATCAAGCAGTTAGAACAGGAGTGCCCCACACTTTTTGTTTTAGGTGCGCATTCCGTAGGACACACATTACAAGTGCGTAATTAGGCTGGCCAGTTCTAGTCCTTTTGGTGGGTCTCCAGTTGCTAAAAGGCTTTCTGATGATTTTATAATTGATGATCTAGAACCACCTGAAACTCAGCTGAAGAGCATTAGTTCTTTGGGGATTAAAATCAGGAACAACCAGAGATTATTTCGCTTTGTCTTTAATGGAAGATACAAGGCAAAGCAAGATGCAAGCTTAGGCTCAGCACACTAGTTTACTACTTATATCAAGTTGCAGGCAAGTTAATCATGTCAATGCAACTTTTTCATCTCTGCTAGTCATCTTCCATGCCTTACTTCAGATATAGTTACCTTAAGTTGATGGGAAGAAAACAGCAGAAAGAAGCCAGAAATCCTTTAAGTACTTTGTTTACTGACAGGAAAGGACAAAGACAGAAGAGAAACAGTGGTCATCTTTACTGATAGCCTACAGAGAAAACTGCACGGTATCTTTTCAATTATACAAGGCAATCCCGATCAAAGAAACAAGGACAAAACAGTTTAAATAAAGATATACAGCATAAAGTGCAGCTACAGTGCTGCATCTAAGTTGTGTTCCATGTTTTCAGTACACTTGCAGAATTAATCTCTTCCTTCAGGAAGGGCAAACCCTCAGTTCCATTATCCTGCTCAGTAAGTATATCAAGGACAAAAGGAGTGGATACAAGTAAARAGTTACCTTCACAGCCGCTGTCACTGCAGCGGAGGCTGCTAAATTCAACCCTTGTCTTCCAAAGTTCACCATGGTCTCATAGCCTTTCTCTTTGGCTTGCACAATGTATTCATCAATCTCCTAAAAGGAAAAGGAGGAATTCAAGTTTCAAAGGCCTCTGAATATGAAAATCATATTAGACTTCAATGACACAAAACAGAGATGAGAAAACTTGAAGGAAATATGTTAACGAATATCTAGTCTGTTTCTGTATCCTGGAGAATTCCATTCACATATATACAGTCCTCTTTTCAAAATAAAGGACAGGCCTGGCCAAACAAGAAAATAAAGTTGACTGTAAGTCACCTATGTCTGACAAAAACACTGCAGTTACATAACAAGTCCTTGATTAAGAATAAGCTTAATTTGCCAGACAAAAATTGTGCAAGACKACAAGCAAGCTCAAGATGAAACTGCAGAATTTCTTGGAAAGTGAGCCAGCTCAAAGAAGCCAGAGCACTGACACAGCTCAGTACCCAGGACATAGTCATGATATTTGTCTCCTTCATACTGAATACCTGGAACTGGACATAAAGGCTTCAAGGTAGCTCACAATGGCTTGCAGACTCCAGAGAAGGATCCCTTTGGCTTACGGAGCTGCAGGCAGTTTGCAGTTCCGCCTTCCTCAGGTCAAGATGACACCACAGCCCCTATGAGCACCAGCAGCACCTCGTGCCAATGGGGTGACTCACAGGGCCCAGCGCTACGGGCACGGACACGGCTCTGCTGCCGGGATGGCCAGGGCAGCCTGCACACATCTCCACTGATCCCCAGTCCCACGCATCCAAACAGAACTCGGAGCCAGCCAAGCCCGTCGGGGCCCTGCCATCCTGCGGCTAAAGCTGCTTTGGCTGGTTTCTCTTGTCAGCTGCTCTTCCCATACACCTCAATCTCTTTTCAGTTTGCATACCAGAAGAGTCATCAATATTGTTCATCTTGTGCGTTGCTYTATGGCAAGGTTAAGCTCACCAGTATATGGTGTTTTCACACTAGGCATTAGTATACAAGCAGGGTTCTTACCCGTTCTTTAGAGGAGAGAAGAGGATGAAGAAGTTTCCGGTAGATTAAACTTGCCCCTCTTGTATATGGGGAAAGGAGCCAAATAACAAAAGCAATCTTCAGTTCATAATACAGTGGAAACCTACAGGCAGGGTAAGTTGCACAGTATCAATAACTGTAGTAAGAAAATGCATACTAATTCACATGAGGCTTTTGTAAAAAAGGACCAAAGTACAAAGTTTTTCAATTATCGGAAGCTACATAGGACAAAATATTCGAGTCACAAATATATTTTTAAATTTACTATGTCACCTAAAAAGAAACAGGTAACAAACCTGCTTTGCTTTGAACTCCTGCACATAAAAAAAATCCACAGAATTCATCACAGAATGGTTGAGGTTATAAGGGACCTTTTGAAATAGTCTAGTCCAACCTCCTGCTCCAGCAGGGACACCCAGAGCACAGGGTGGCAGCCAGGCGGGTTTGGAAGATCYCCAGAGAAGGAGATTCCACAACCTCCCTGGGCAGTTATCCATTTAGGAACTCCATTCTCCTGTTCTGATTCTATAGCAAAGGAAGCAATCTTATAATCCCTATTTACAGCRGATTATAGAGTACAAAACCTGAAAGTGGTTCTACTCTACGTAGATCAAGAGCTTTATATGTGGAAAAATTATCTACAAGTAAAATCTCTTTATAAAAAAATTAAATCAGTACAAATAAAAGACGACCAGAAACAAGTATAGCTACATCCAAAGTTAATAAAAAACAGACWTACCAAGAGACTGTTAGGTCAGTTATTGTTTCAGTAACTGTATAGAGAGCAAACACAATCCAATACATCATCCAGCGAACCTGAAAATTAAAACAGCCTTCAGTAAGAACTGTGATTTCACCGTTTCATAGAACACACAATACACTTTATGGTCCATCAGTGCATAGCTGTCAAAGCAAGACATTCAGCAACATTGCAGTCTGCATCAAATGGCTTTCAAGTGAAATCACCCACAGATGCCAGAGGGTATTTTCCAGTGGTAAGAAGAGCTGGTGGCAGCTGCAGCAGGCTGAATGCGGCCACCGGGGCAGCAGGGTCAGGGCCTCTCCAGGCCTGGCTCCTGGTTCTGACTCCAGGGCCTCCAGCAGCCAGGGGCCACGCTCTGCAGCAACAGTCCGTCCATACCCACACACACCAAGGCTATTTCACACTGTGTGCTGGAGACCTCACTCTTCCACACCCCTCCATTCCCCTATAGCACACTCGAGCCCTCAGCATCAGTAAGGGCAAGTTGCCTTGGCTTTCACAACACACCTTATTCATTCACGCTTTGCAGACAAGCTCTACCTGCACAATTGGTAATTTGACCCCAACAGAGGGACAAGGAAATAGAAAAGCATTTCCACTGAACTTTAATCCTATTCTTATTCCAAGAATCAYGACATTCTTGTTAATAAAAACTCACTTCTAAGTATCTTGGAGGAAGATGGACACATACACCCCAATGCATACGTACTTGCACCATACAGCACTGTTTTGGGCACAGGTGACACCCTGCTTTGGCTAACCAACTTCTTGGTCCYGTTTTGTATTTCTTTAATATCTGCTCAAATTTGGGTTTAAGTAGATTGCATCTTTCCAAATAAAGACTGCAGAATTAGAAGTATGAATTTTTCTAGAAGTGACCAGCAATAGTGTATTTCCAAAACAGGCTGGTGCAAACTGCTCCTGTTTCTCCAGATATTACACATTAAACCAACACATTTTTGTAAATTCAAACATTATCAGTATTAAAAAAACAAAACAGTGAAAGAAAGATGTCACCTGCTACCAGATGCAGTACCTGCTTCATTTGCAATACACAGATTATTAATTCTTTGGGCCTATACACAAAGTACTAAACACTGTATACAATACAGTGTATACAATAACCACTAATTCAGGTCCTAATTTCACTTTATTTTTTCAAAAGATGTACTTGTTTCCCTGCCCTGAACATTGCTCAAATTTAGCCTCTACTTTCCAAGGCATCATCTCTGAAGTGCACTTACAGAAGTGCTCAAAAACCTCCTGCTGTACTGCTGCCTTTTTCATGGCTTGGCATTACATTTACAAACTGCTTCCTTTGTCACAACTTGAAACCCATTTATCTTAAATAGTTTTCTGCATTTCAATTTGAAAAGAGCCTCARTCATGTGATGACATTCTTTACTTCAGTCACTCGGAGGATTTAGATATTTTAGGCTTGAATAAGCTAAAACAAGTGTACCCAACAGCTGAAGTCACCACTGACAGCACATGTGACATTTAGACTGGTGACCACTCTGTGAACCACAGGCCACACCTGGGTAAAAAATAATGGGCTGAGGGTGGATATTGGCTTTATGTTATACCCTACATAGTCATATGAATTATTACATTTTATTACACCCATGCTACTCTTTCTAGCTTATTTAACAAAAAATAAAAACTTCACCTGCAGTATTTGATCAGGCATAACCTATAGGATGCATTTCAATGAAGTTTAAGTGTCATCYGAGAAATCTATACCTTGTCATTTCTAATGGTAAAGGATTGGCACTGCACTGCCATGGTTTCTACATCTAATACTGACAAAGTGATACCAGCTTTCATGATTTATTACATTGTGTAATGAAAATTTCACAGTTGCATCACAGCAAAAGCATTTAATTAAGCAATTAAGAGGAACCACTTACATATTCCTTCACATTTTTTGTCTTCACAGCTTTGTACGAGTAGTAAGCAGGATACAGCATCCCAAAGACCAGCCTTTTGGAAAATAAAGAGTGCTTTTAGAATCTCTTRTGTTGTACATGGCAAAGAAGCAACACCACATTACCCAGATGCAACCAACTCAAAGAAACCCACTGTTTCATAGCTTGGGGAAAAGCCACAACAATACAGGCTGTTTGCAGTAAACCTGGCAATACACAAAGACCAAGCAGCACCAACAGAGGCRGCGGTGAGCCCCTGCAGGCCACGTGCATCCCACAAGTCCGCCTCGAAGCCTAGAACCAGCTACAAGCAAAACCAGCCCAGCAAAGGCTCCTTCCGCACAGGAGGCACCACTACCACTACTGGGCTACACGACAGACAGGGAGAGGCGTTAGAGGGCTCTTTGAAATCCCTCACGGCATATTTAGAATGAGTTTGCTTTTTTCAAGTCAAACCTCACTTAAAAGGCATCAACTCTATATAAAGCAGAACGAGAAGTTCCAACAAGTTACGCTGAGGAGCAGAAGGACCTGCTGTATTAAGAAGTTCGTTGCTACATGGCATTTGCCACCGGAATCTTGCTCAGTGCTGGAGCAGCTCTCTGTCCCAAAGCCGACAGCAGTGGTTGCCACCACTGGGACACGGGCAAGAGCACCGGATTTTTGCTTCCTCAGGTAGTTGCACCCTGCAGAAGCTAAGCAGCTACCTGCCCTTAGCTCTAAGGAGGACAAAGCAGCAGCAACAGTCTCGCCTGACTAGGTCCCTGCAGCATCATTCCCCTCTACGTGTTCAGGATGGTTATGTGGGAAATACAGATCTACAATTCTAGGGATCTACAAAGATCTTAAGAAATTCAAAACAGAGTGTAATGTAAGAAAAAAATTACTTAAGAGAAAGATGCATCACATGTTTTCAAGAAGAGTACAGCGGGGGCAGATCAGGCATGTAAAATTTCAACCCAAATGGTTAAAGTTCCCTAAGGTTAGATAAAAATAAAGGTTTTTACAGTTGTCACGTGGCTTTAAATATGTTGTTCCACCTGTTTTACCTACTGTATGRTGAGCACTGTATGATGCAACCCATTTATTCTGCTGTCAGGCCCAGTAAAGAAGCCTAAGCAATTGTAGTCCGGTTTTTATCTCCCTCTTTCCTTCAGCTGCTCCAAGAGTCTTTATCTCCTACCAGACTTTGCTTGCAAAGATGGCCTTCCTGCTATACAAGACAAAGCACCATGAAGGTTCACCCCGGTGATGCCCCCTGCCTTCCAAACACCTCTCTGCAGCGCAGGTAACACCCCACCAGTTAGGGAAGCTGCTGTGAGTACCACCAGGCACCTCCAGCAGCAACAGCGGGACTTTCCAACACCAGCAATGCCACAGAGAAGGTCTCTCCGTCTTTAATGCAGCAAACTTCTCCAGGCTGTACAAGCCCATCCAGACTCTACCCACAGACCATGGGGGTCCGCTGTGGTGGCCTCTAACCTTCCTCAAGTTGACCACCACCTCCCTGGCACCCAGAGGCCCTTGGAGAGCGGGACAGGGTTCCTCTAACCGAGCAAGCTGGTACTGCACCGCTGTCCCGCCAGCGCATGCTGAACAACAGAACTGACAGGCTGTGCTCAGCAGTGCCACCCACAGCAGCAATGAAGGCATGAACCAACGTGGGGCTTTATCACCTAGAGATGCGTGCTCAGAACTGACGCCAACATTAACTCTGGGCCAAAAGATGATAGTTCCTGAGGCACTTTACTAAATCTAGGTCAAGCTGCTACTTCACTACAGGAGACCTTACCTACATGTTTCACATGTGGAAATACCTCCCGAAAAGCCCTGCCTAGCTGAATTCCAGCTTGGCATGCTAGTCTGTAGATGCCTATCCAAACACTACAACTCATTACAATCCAAAGACCTTTCACCTCAAACCAAGGGAGGCATCAGTTAAACCCCTGAATAGTTTTCTTCTGCCCAATTAGAAGAAAATCCTGACAACACAATTTAAAAATTTCTCCCCAAAAACAGACGGAAAAATAGATCAAACACCCTTAATTTGGATGAAATTTTGCAGACAAGAGCTCTTCTTTTGCCCCTGTGGAATATCCTGTTGGGTAACCCAGCTCTAATGGCTTTCACCTTTCCTTGTTCTTCCGGCTAAAGTTACAAGCACAAAACAGAGATAAAAAAGCCTCATTAGTCCTTATAACGCATCATGGACTTTGATGGTGACATTTCTTTGACTACAAGAAGGTCASAGAGGTGCCTGAACACCCCAGCCACTAAGTTCCTGGGCAAGTATGCACCTCATTCACATCCTCAGAAACAGTCTCAAGTTATTCACACAGTTACAAGCAACTATCTGCCTAACTATCTCCCTATGAGGCTTAGGGAATAAATACAATTTCAGTATCAATTTCCTTCAATCAATTTATTGATTCAAGTTTCCTTTTTTCTTTTTTGAGCGGGGGGGAGGGGGGGGGAGGGAAGGGGGGTGCCCTTACCTAGTCAGTAATACTAGAAACTATTTTTATTTCCTTGTGCCCAGAGCTGACACTAAGTGTGAATAACCCTGCTGCCAGCTTTGGTATCACCACCTCCTTCGCAATACGGAGCCTGCTCTTTGCTGACTTAAGCCACACTCAGTTTTGCCCTCAAGCTGCTTGCCACAGATAATACACAGGCACGAGAGCAGAGCTCCCTGGAGATTAGATGCAGAAGAGCAGAGAAGAGCCAAAGGAAGCCCTGGCGCAACCAGCATCACTGCATGGCTAAGGCAGCACGGGACCTTCCAGCAGCTACTGAAGAGCCCTATTCCCACTCCCTTCTGCCACACTCATGCATCCTTTCCCTGGGTATTTCTCCTTACATAACTACACAGCGTGCCTCAGGACTGGGCCTGATTATTTCAGGACTTTGCAAGTTCAATAAATGCAGGGCACTGTTTTTGAACGCAGCTCGCACCTCTCTGGCTCTGCGCTTGCCGAGGCGGCTGTCCCGAGGGGCAGCAGCTTTCAGCAGCGCCGGCACTCGTTCATCCCGCCCCGCCGGCGCTGGGGAGAGCTCCTAGGAACACACAAATACCGGAGGCACTGCAGGCGCCTCCCAGCCCCACGCGTGCTATCCAAGCCCTAACTGCCCACAAGTACCTATGCACAAACCAGGTCTGACCTACAACTCCTATTCCATGTTATGGTTCGTGCTTATTCTAATCAAGATTCCTTTCAAAAAGGGAACTTTCCCAGTGAAAACTAAACAGCAGGATGAAACATAGTCTCAAGAGGACTACTTGAAACTTCACGTGGCTTTTTTTTAAGCCTCTTCAGCTATAATGTGGTAAACAATCTGTTACTGACAAAGCTGTAACCTCTTAATCACCTCTGTATAGGAATTTTATGCTCAAGGCCTGAGATAAGGAGGGTATTTTTAAGAATCCTATTCAGGGGGAGGGAAACTTGAATGTAGAGGCACAAGTCAGACCCCGAGTCACCCTCATCCTTTATTATTATTTTAAACAAGCTTGAACAAAGCTCAGGCTGACACTTCTGTCTGAAGGTTTTCAAGGGGCCGTCTGCTACACAGGCTCGCAGCAACACCCAACAGAACTATGCAGAGCAATCCACACAGCACACACTTGGACAGAAACTCTAACCTGATACAGCAAGAAACTCCCGATTTTTACACCAAAATAATTWTTGGGGGGAGGAGGAGAAAGGAACAGGGAAGTGGGGGGAAGCAGGAAGATGTCCCATGGACCATACGAAGTTAACAGTAGCAACATTTAAAGGAAAAAACAGGAAATTTTATTTACCAGTGGGTAGGAAACCTATCAGAAATAGATCTCCCAACCTCCATAGCAATCCTCATCCCACAATTACATAGGAAAAAGAAAGTTCAAGTTAATTAAAGAATCACCCCCACAAAAACCAAAACCAAACACCACATTCTAGAGCAGAACAAGTTACTAACCCTTCAGCTTAGGAAACTAGAATTCTCCAAAGCAGCTACAAGCTTTTCCATAGGGGCTATAACTAAAACCAGCACAATTATTCAAGTAGTCACAAAACATCTTGAAGTTTCATGTGAAGACTGACTTCACCAGCAATCCCGCTAGAAGGGAGGTGCTTCCCATGTCAGGAACATCTCTTTAATAACTCCTAAATAAAGCAATTACAAGCAATCTGATAAGGGACTGTTAAGTCTTTCAATACAGAACTCCAGGTCCTCTTAAATGTATTCCATAAAAATAAATGGAATACTTGAGGCTTACTAAACAAAAATGGACCTATTGCTAAATATTCCTCAGGTTAACATGGAAAAAAAGTCCTGCCTGAAAACTTGAAAGACATCTAAAACAGCACACACAAAATTAAAAAAACAACACTCTGTAACAAAGATTCTGGAATCCACATAAGAAGCATTAGTAAGACTGATGACTTACAATTATTGGCTAACTGTTTTCTATCAGGGAAAACAAGATTTATGTCACAAAAGGGCACTCAAACCTTCAGTTAACCCATTAGCCTTGCAAAGAAAGCTATTTTCAAATTCTAATGAGTGTCGATCTGCTGGCAGCACAAAGTAGACATCATCTGCGGGCATCTCCTCAGCCAAAACACACCACTATCTCAAGAAGTCACTTTGTCCACAACCCTCAAGAATAATTTAAATATTAGGAAACTTCTGTAGTATTTTCTAAGTTGCCTGCTATGCCTTCTACCACTGCTACAAACTCTCAGGTAACAGGTAATAAAGGTTGGTACGTAAGAGAGACTGGAGAGAGGTCTTAATAGGGAACTTGACACATGTACCGAGGGATGCCCAACCTATTTTGGGCTGAATTAGCTCATTCTCATGGTCAGAGCTCACGGGAGTTGACCTACAAGCCGGTCCCGTGCCACAACATGTGGGGACGTCGCCACACGGCAGCCTCCCTGCGGCAGCCCAGGACAGCAGCCAGTCTGGGCAGCCACTGCACCAGCCGGAGCTGCCCACAGCGCCGGGACCCACACATGGGCCGAGGAGCRCGCGCCAAGGGGCAGCGGCACGCACCAAGGCCA